GGACCACAAAATCACGATCTGGGCCAAAGTCGGACACTCAACTCAGGCGCCCTGAGAGAGCTCCTGTTTTATATTTTATTATTGAACAATATTTTAATTCTATCTCATTTCCTTACCTTCCAAAATTATACAGGAGAGAGAGAGAGAGAGACAGCATGAGCAGGGGAGGGTCAGAGAGAGAGGGAGACACAGAATCTGAAGCAGGCTCCAGGCTCTGAGCTGTCAGCACAGAGCCCGACGCCGGAGTCGAACTCACGAACCGTGAGATCTGACTTCAGCTCAGGTCATTAAAAAAATAATAAAAACTGAGTAATTTTATTTTTTTCATACAGTTTGGTTAGGCTAACTTCATAAAATGATTTTAGGAGCATTTTTATTTTTGTAATTATGGCAGGGGGAGGGGAGGAAGACACATCAGAGTATAATTATATGTACCTTGACTGTTTGTAGAATTTGCCTGTAAAATTCTGTCTTGAAGTTTTTTAACTTTGTTTTTGTGCTAAAGCATTTAAAGTGCTGACTCAATTTAAAACAATTATGTCAGATTTTGTATTTATTTTATTTAAAAAAATTTTTTAAATTTATTTCTAGGAGAGAGAGAGAGAGACAGCGTGAGCAGGGGAGGGTCAGAGAGAGAGGGAGTCACAGACTGAAACAGGCTCCAGGCTCTGAGCCGGCAGTCAGCACAGAGCCCGATGCGGGGCTCGAACCCATGAACCGCGAGATCATGACCCAAGCGAAAGTCGGAGGCTTAACCGGCTAAGCCACCCAGGCGGCCAGATTTTGTATTTATTTTTGAGCCAATTTTGGTGAGTAAGTTTCTAGGAATTTATGCATTTTATCTAAGTTTTCAAATTCATAATATCTTTCATAATGTTTCTTGTCCTTCTAATCACTGCTCTGTATTTATATCTCCCTTGATATTCCAAGATTGTTTCCTTTTTTTCCTTTACCTTTCTTCCTAGAGGTTTGTCAGTTTTGTTTATGTTTTCAAACACTGGATTGACTTTATTTTACTTCCAAATGTTGTTTAATTTCTGCCTTTTTATTTATTGTTTATTTCCTCAATACCATGTTTGAGTTTATTCTGCAATTCATATTTCTACTGTTTCTTTTTCCATTTGGACAGTTCTCCTTACTTTTCATCCTTTCTCATCTTTTGGTACGAACACTTAAGGACTGAGTTAGCCTCTCAGGATGGCTTCAGCTGCCCACCACAATTCTGGATAAGTGATATTTTATTATTGTTCAGTTACAAGCGTTTTCTATTTTCCATTATGATATATGCCAGGTTACATGACAGTGGGTTTTCTAATAGTCGAATGTGCAGGGATTTTCAATTATCTCGTTAAAGGTCACTTTGCAATTTGATGGTTTGCAGTTTCCTCTCCTCATCAAAGTCTCGTCCGTGTATCCAGACCTCCCCTGTAAGTTAGCTTGTTTTAAGTGCTGTCCTGATCCAGTTTTGAGGCCCCGGCTGGGCGCCAGCCAGTCCCCCTTTGTGAGCAGGCACCTCCTTTTCAGCGCCTCTGTTCTGGGGCCCCTGTTCACCGGTCCTCATCGCCCGGACACCAGGTGCCAGACCACTCGGCACGGCCTAGGACCCCAGATTATCCACATTACCCAATCGACAGAGAACCCATGAAAACGAAGTGACTCACTCTGCTTGTCAAACATAAGCTGTCCCCTAGCGCCCCAGCTTGTTACTGTCCCCGGGTGCACCGCCCTGGGTGGCCCTGCGGGGCAGCCTTCCCGCATTTTAAACTTAAGTAGCGGGCCTGGGGGCGCCTGGGTGGCTTAGTCGGTTAAGCGTCCGACTTTCGCTTAGGTCATGATCTCGCGGTTCGTGGGTTCGAGCCTCGCGTCGGGCTCTGTGCTGACTGCCAGCTCAGAGCCTGGAGCCTGCTTCAGATTCTGTCTCTCTCTCTCTCTCTGACCCTCCCCTGCTCACACTGTCTCTCTCTCTCCTAGAAATAAAATAAAACATTAAAAAAAAAAAAAAGTAGCGGGCCTGACGCCAGATCTTGGATGCTTTACTACCGCTGACTGCAGCTGGGCGCCGTGGAGCCCCGCCTGAAGGCCTTGCGTGGCGTCCGGGGCCCGAGAAGCCGGTTCCTGCGGGCGGGCGGGCGAGGCTCTGTACACCAGGGGGCGCTGCAGGCCTGCGCTGCCGCTTTCCTTCTCGCTGAAGCCCGCGCTGGGCGGACAGCGCCTTGCCCGGCGGGAGGGAGCGCCCGGCGCGGATTCGGTGGGTCCGCGGCTCTCTGATCTGATCCGGGTGCAGACACTCAGCGTCCCGGAGGGCGCCGGGAGCGTCGGTGTCAGCCATGCCGGCGTCCCCGGCCGCGCCGCCCTCAGCTGTCCCCTCTCTGGGTTCCTGTTTCCCCATCTGTGAAATAGGCACTACTGAAAATGCGATCCTTTTGGGGGGCGGGGGTATCGCTTCGTTCTGAAACGCTTACTGGAGGGACACCTCCGTAGCGTTTCTCCAGGACGGTGGTGTGATTACTTTGCGAACCTGAAGACTGACTTTCCCCAGGGCAACAGCGTTTGCAGCTTGCACACCCGAAACCGCCCGTCGCCGCGGGCCTCCGAGGCCAAGCCCTACAGCTCCTGGGTTCCCGGCGATGGCGCCGGGCACCGTGCCACACTCAGCCGGCTCAGGAGACAAAGCTGTTACTGTGCGTTTTTTAAAAATGTGTATTTATTCTTTGAGAGAGAGACCAAGAGAGAGCAGAGGGAGGCAGAGAGAGACACAGAACCCGAAACAGGCTCCAGGCTCTGAGCTGTCAGCACAGAGCCCGACGCGGGGCTCGAACCCACGAACCGTGAGGTCACGGCCTGAGCTGAAGTCTGATGCTCAACCAGCCGAGCCACCCAGGTGCCCCTGTTACGGTGTGTTTTCTCTGTCCTGCTAATTTTCACCACTGGTGCTCTGGTTGGTACCTATCTATACCAGGAACCGTGCTAAGTGCCTTGCAAACGTTAGCTCACGAATCCTCTGCAACCCTCATGCAGTATCAGCCCTTTCTACAGATGGGGAGGTTGAGGTCCACATGGCTGTTAAGCAGAGGCACTGGGACCCAAACCCAGACTGAGCAGGGCTCGGAGCAAGTGCTCTCCAGCAACACGGAGCCGCTTCCCTGGCTCAGAGCTGGGATGCTTACCTCGTGGCCAGGTTCTGTCACGGGAGCGTCAGCCGGCTCTCAAGGGAGCATCTCCAGACCCTTGATGGCCATGATCACGTGCGATCGGTTGGGCCTCTAGACATCATCCTAACGCTCCTCGCCGGGGCCAGTCCCCGGAGGCAAGGTGCTCAGAGGGGCTTGCCCAGGGCTGTCACACACAATGTTCGCACTGCACCCCCGGCTCTCTAACTTGCCTCCTGAGGCCTGTGATTTCAAGAGAGAAGCTTCCTCAGGCCCCGCATGTTGGTTTTGCTTTGCTTGGCTCAAGTCCGTGAAAGGGAATCTGTACTGAGGCCCCAGGGCCTTGGGACTTGGACGGGCGGCCGCCCTGCTGGCAGAGGGACGGGGGGAGGTGCGGGTCGTTGGCTGGCCACGCAGGGCGCGGCTGGGACAGCGCGGGGGACGCGGGCCAACAGGACCCCTGTGGCGGATCGCCTGGTCGCAGCTGTTGTTCCGGGCCAGCAGGGTCGGGGAGGCTCGGCCAAGTGCAAGGGGGACCCCCCGCCGGACACACGGGAGTCGAGGGGCGCGGTCATCCTCCAGCCCTTCGCTTGCAAAAACCGGAAGCTGCTCCGCACACAGGATGCGCTCCTTGTCTGGGACCTTGGCTTTTGCGTCCTCAGCGGCACGAGCGGGCTCGACCTTGAGGGTGGCGGTGGGCCCACCGGGGTCTTCACAGATCCGTGTCTCTGCAAGGGCCCGCCAGCCGACCGCTGAAGGGACGGAGGGTGGCCGGACCCAAACTATGCTTAGTCCACACGTTACCCTGTATAATGGGCACAGACTCACCGGTCCCTCCGCTCTCTCAGCCTCGGCCCTGTTGGAACGTTCTGGACAGGGGAACTTTGCTGGGGAGGGCTGTCCTCCCCGACACTGTGGCTCTTTTAAACCGAACTGAAGAGCTGAGCAACTGTAGACACAGAGGGAAGCCGGCAGTAGTCGGGGCGCCTTGGGCGTCCGACCTCAGCTCAGGTGTGAGCTCATCGTTTGCGGGTTCGAGCCCCAAATCGGGCTCTGTGCTGACAGCTCGGAGCCTGGAGCTGCTTCGGATCCTGTGTCTCCCTCTCTCTTTGCCCCTCCCCCGCTCATGCTCTGTCTCTCTCTCTCAAAAATAAACATTGAAAACAATTGAAAAGCTGGCAGAAGCTGAGGATATGATAGTGAAAGGCTCAGGACTGCTGTCAGCCCCTCGGCCGCGACTGCTACCCTAACAGACCATGTCCGTGGGAGCTCCGCGATTTCCAGTGGGGGGGGGGGGCAGGAAGGGGTCTTCCTGTCGCAAAGGGGGCGTGAAGCTACCTTGTCTCCTCCCTTTACATGAGTTATTGAATGTGGTCGACTAAAGCCCCCTGACTCCCTCCGAGGCACACACATCTAGATACGTGTTGCTCTGCTCTGAATAGCTGCCTTATGTATGCATCTGGCCTCCCCACCCCCGGCCCCTCTCAGGTCCCACCTGTTCGAGGCTACAGCACACAAAGGGTGCTTTGCCACTGCACACCCACTCAGGCAAAACTGCTCACTCGTCCAGGACACAAAGATCATGTCTACGACACAGAGCCGGCGAAAAGGGAAATTCTTTACATTAAAAATCCAACAAATACACTTTAAAAAAATTAAGGTGTCTCTTTTAAAAGACAACTGACTCCGTTTTCCTCTTTGATCTTGCAGAGAGCAAACCTTCCTAGCTTTCAGTTTTGGGAAGTGAGTAACTTAGTCACTCATTTTCTGCTTCTTACTTCTATCAGAAAAAAAAAAACCCACTTGAACTCAGCACAGATGGGTGAGGGACAGAGCTGGCGCTCACAGGAAGCCACGCGCCCTTCAAAGGCACCTTTCTTAGCGCTCAGCTCCTCGAACAAGCCTGGCACTGGCTCGCCGACGAGCGTCGGGACCACTGTTGGACACGGAAGGTAAGCAGGGACGGGCCCATTCCCGGGGTCTCAGGATGCACACTTGGTTCTGGTCGGCCGCGTGGACTTCGGATGCGCGGAGAGCCGGCCAGTCCCTCCACTCGGGCTTCCTGGGCATTCTGGGGCTCACTGCAGGCTCTGAACTCAGACTCACACGCCATCTACTTACACTCACGCCCTCCGAGCTCTCGTCTGAGGGGCACTTCTATATGCGGGACTCTCTCCCTGCACACATCTGGCCCGAGTCCACACGCTCAGAATACACAGATCACTTTTATCAAACATACATTTTTTCCTGCTCCTTGCTTCTAATCAAGGCTCCCAGGTCAAGAAACACCACACAAATAAGGCTGACGGAATAATTCCCAACATTTACCAGCTGCGTTTAGTTTTATTCTCCTGGCAGTTTCCCAACTCCTCAGCCTCCTCTGTTCCTTCAGTTTTTACCGGCAAAATGGTGGAGAGAGACTGGGATTGATGTTTATTTAACTGGAACTGATACTGATTTTACAACACTTGCTCCGAGATCCTGCGATGGCCCAGGTCCTCAGCGTCCGTCTACAGGAGTAAACCCAAATCTCTCTCTTGAGAAACCAAAGTTGGTTTGGGGGTTTGGGTGCACGGTGGTAAGGGTGGCAGGGAGGGAGGGGAGGGCAGTTAACTGAACAATGTGAAAAGGGTTGTGATAAAAGAATATCAGGGGCCATTAAGAAGGAAGCAAGAGGGGATGCCTGGCTCACTCACTCAGTAGAGCGTGCGACTTGATCTCAGGGTTGTGAGTTCGAGCCCCACGTTGGGTGTAGAGATCACTTTAAAAAAATCTTTACCAAAAAAAAAAAAAAAAAAAAAAAAAGAAGAGAAGAAAGAGGCGGTAGCCTTGAGTCAGAAAGCCCTTCATCCCTGAATTGCTCTGATCCGCAGGCGAACATGCATGTAGCTGTAAGGTCTCAACCTCTTCACCTGCCAATTTAGATAGGAAATGTGGGTAGCTGGGGAAGTAGAGAGATTTCATTTCTGGCCACGATGTGCCTTTTTGAGATCTGTCAGGCTAATTCCCACGGCGACAGGATTCAGTGCGTGGGACTGATTTTCGCACGTGGTTTTGATGAAACGACCAAGTTCCCTCTCATCGCCATCTGAATCCAGCAAAAACTACCTGAGTGCTCCTGCATCCAAGGGGCCTTCTGGACACATCCACTGCATTAGCGTCTGAGTGGCCCAGGAGCAGCTAGCCCCCAGGCCCGGGAGGCCAGGCATGTTCCCATCAAAGGCAGTGTTCCAGAATGACCTTGGGAGTGTACACCGGAGCTGACCTGCACAGCTCCCAGGGGCTATTAAAGACCATCAAGGATTCAGGAACTTTGGGAGGCAGTCGGAAGCTGGAATTCTGCCCTGGTGCAAGTATTTGCACCACAGGCACCAGCAAACACCATAAATCAGCATCTGCCCCCTCCGCAGAGTTGGTTTACTAGCACGTCACGGGGACTTGGGGCCCAAGGAACGAGTTCTGCATGTAACTGTGTGGCCTTTGGAAGTCATTTAGCTTCTCTGAACCTTTTGTGAGCCATGGCTCAGTATGCTTGCTTGGCTCCGAGCACCTGGCTCTGTCGGGAGTGCGGTGGGGGGCAGGGTCGCGGGAGTGGGATGAAATGCACGATACCAGGGAGCAGGCTTTGACATAGATATGTCATGCTTGCAGGAGGAATTCGAATTTTTATATAAAATCCTAGCCAACCTTCTAGCCCAACGATTACCTAAGCAATGACGGAATTTTTGGAGTTCGAATAGGAAGGGGAAACATGCACAGATGTTTAATCTTCATGTTTTGTTTTTGTTTTGTTTTTAAGTCACTAAGGTGGCCGTGGGTGGAGGGCTGTTGGGAATCTCACCTGGCCTGCAGGTGATTCACTAACCCCAGACTATCATTTTGAAATGCATCCTTGAAACCGCCTCCTTGAGAAGGAGGTTTTACGGTCCCCATTTACAAGTGAGGGACTTCAAGCCTCCCTGAGAGCGGGAGGGGAGTGCTGGAGCTGGGACTTGTCATCTGCTGACTCCAAAGGCCAGGATTGTTATTTTGGCTGCACTGCCCTGCGAGGAACAGAGCCCTTCAACTTGGGAAGGCTGGGAAGAGGGTGTCACGATCCGGGGCACAGTATTCGGCGCTATGCTCTGTATTCAGCACCATTTCAATTTGCTTCTGTTCTTACAGAAATCCTGTTTGCTCTTCCCCTCATTAGTTCTTGGTTGGGCTCAGACCCGTGTTGAGGAGCCTGCAGAGTTGAAAATGAACCCCACGGATACAGCAGACACCACCATGGATGAAAGCATCTATAGTAATTACTATCTCTATGAGAACATCCCCAAGCCTTGCACCAAAGAAGGCATCAAGGCCTTTGGGGGGCTCTTCCTGCCCCCTCTCTACTCCTTGGTCTTTCTGTTCGGTCTCCTTGGAAATTCTGTGGTGGTTCTGGTCTTGTTCAAGTATAAGAGGCTCAAGTCCATGACCGACGTGTACCTGCTCAACCTCGCCATCTCAGACCTGCTCTTCGTGTTCTCCCTCCCTTTCTGGGCCTACTATGCTGCAGACCAGTGGGTTTTCGGACTAGGTCTCTGCAAGATTATTTCCTGGATGTACCTGGTGGGCTTTTACAGCGGTATCTTCTTCATCATGCTCATGAGCATCGACAGATACCTGGCCATCGTGCATGCGGTGTTTTCCTTGAGAGCGAGGACCTTGACGTATGGGGTCATCACCAGCGTGGTCACGTGGTCCGTGGCTGTACTGGCTTCTCTCCCAGGCTTCTTACTCAGCACCTGCTATACGGAGCGCAACCACACCTACTGCAAAACCAAGTACTCGCTCAACTCCACGCGGTGGAAGGTGCTCAGCTCCCTGGAGATCAACATTCTGGGCTTGGTGATCCCCTTGGGCACCATGCTGTTCTGCTACTCCATGATCATCAGGACCCTGCAGCACTGCAAAAACGAGAAGAAGAGCAAGGCGGTGAGGATGGTCTTCGCCGTGGTGGCCCTCTTCCTGGGCTTCTGGGCGCCTTACAACGTGGTGCTTTTCCTGGAGACCCTGGTGGAGTTGGAGATCCTTCAGGACTGCGCCTTCGAAAGGCACCTGGACTATGCCATTCAGGCCACGGAGACCCTGGCTTTCGTTCACTGCTGCCTTAACCCCGTCATCTACTTCTTCCTCGGGGAGAAATTCCGCAAGTACCTCGTACAGCTCTTCAAAACCTGCAGGGGCCCCTTCCTGCCCTGTCACTACTGCAGGCTCCTGCAGCTCTACCCCCCCGACACCCTCAGCTCGTCCTACACGCAGTCCACCGGGGATCACGATCTCCACGACGCCCTGTAAGCCGCGAAGAGGCGGAGGACGGCGCGAGGCCCCCCGAAGGGAGAGCTGGCTTGCAATTGTACTATAGTCGGGGCTCCCGAGCCAGTGGCGGGAGGGAGCCCTTCATCCGCTGCCGAGCGTGGGCTTCTCGCCCCTCAGTCAGCTCCTCCTCTTGAAATCTGCGGGTGCGGTCCAGCAAGAGCTCACCCGGGCTGCGACGTCACCCCTTCCCCGGGCTTGCCTGCAGGGCTGAGTAAGCAGGAGGAGGACTCTGACCAGCATCTCAGCGAGGTCACACGTGACACTGTAAGGGAAGGACCGTTCATCCCCGGCTAACGTGCACCGATGGCGTTCTCTTGGGGGGGCCTGTGGAGAACGAATGGTGGAATCGGTCGCTACTTCTTGCCGTGAAAAACGGGCCCTTTAATTACTTTCTAGCTTTCGTGGGACAATAGCAAAAACTTTGACATGCTGTTCTAGAGCTTTCCTGTTAATATATCCGAAGCATGGTAGATTCCCTGGAGCCAGGTGTATGAGGAGACAGAGAGCAAAGTGCTGAACCCTGATCTGCTCTTTTATCTTAAAGGATTATCTGCTAACGGAGGCCAAACTTTCGATGCTGATTCCAGGTGTGAGGATGTGACGTGAAGGCATTAGCAAGGCCTGATGTCCAAACGTGAAATACAAGGCATTAAAACATCCAAACGTATTTGTGGAAATTCAAACATACTTTCATGTGCTTGTGAGCACATTTTGTTTTGATGATAACAGATGATATTCAAGTTTTACAAATAATACATAGGTGCAGATACATGGATGGGGGGGGGTCTTTTACTTGTTTACAAACAGAGCCTTCAAAACTAAAAATAAGAAAGGTTAATAAAGTATGACAGTGACGTGCCTGCCATTAAGGGAGGCAAGAATAATCAAGCCAAAGCTATTACCGATGTGGCACAACCAGTAATTATGAAGTTGTGAAAAATGTCATCCTCTCTGTTAAAATACTGGCTTCCTTTTTAACTTTGGGATGAGTCAAAGTTTCTCACCAGTCATTTTAATCGTGTCATTAAGCGTTTGACACCATTAAGTTAAATCTCTGTTCTTAGTCACAGACTTCATCAAATTCAACAGAGACTTTAATCAGGGTGGGAGAGCCCTGGAAGGCATTGCAAAACAAAAACCCATCTTGCAAACCATCAACCGAGTTACCGGCTTCAAATGCTTCTGTAAGTTCACACCTTATCACACGCTCTACATTTATAAAGGACGCACTTCCAGAAAGTATGTTTTTTTTTTTAAACGATTTTAAAGGGGTGGGGGTGAGTCGATGTGGCCTTTGTAGACAAAGATAAAATAAACTTGTACATAGTCTGACAGAGCCTCTTCTCCTGAGCCGGTTTGTGCCTGGTTTCCTGATGGGGACAGGGACCCGCGCCGCTGTGGGTGTGGAGGACTGATCCAGGGGAGGAGCCATGCGGCTGCCTGTGTAGACGCCGCCTGTGCGCACGCGGGGTGAGGAGGGCGGCCCGGGGACGCGGGGGTGGACAGCCATGAGGGGTGGCCCACCTCCTGGGTGGTGTCCCTAGGAGACCTCGTCCACCTTGTGGCCTGGTGACCCCGGCCCGCACGTCCTAGCTCTGGGGTCCCCTGTGAGCCTGAACACATCCCTCTCCTCTCAGCCTCAGTTTCCTTCTGTCTGTAAAGGGGAATACATTCCGGAAAGAGGAGGATTATTTCCTGGGACATCACGGGAGACAGGAACTTTGGGGCCACCGGCCAAAAGGGTTTCCCTGCCCCTGGGCTCCTCCCAGCTCCACGCGCACCATGGTAAACAGGTGGGGGTACAGTCGGCCCCCGCTACCATCCCTCCTCCTGAGCTCGGGTCGCCCATCGGCCCCAGCCACTCAGGCCGAGTGCCCCCTTGGGATGGGGAATTTGGAAGCTCTGGTGGCACTACACATGGCTCTCTGGGAACACTGTTCCTTTCCGGGAACAGAAACATGGAAAACAAGCCAGCAGGAGGTCTCACAAAGGTGAGTCTAACTCTACGTTGTCCACACTGGACCCCGGCCCTTCCCTGTGGCAATGTGCCCAGCTTCCGGGGAGCACAGGCTAGGTGCAGTTTGCTTCAGAGCGATAGAAACAGGGTGGTGTTTTGGAACATCGGGCCATGGATGTCCTAAACACTGCTGAATTGCTTGCTTTCAAATGATTAGTTTTATTTATTTATTAAATTTTTAAAAAATGTTTTATTTATTTCTGAGTGAGAGAGAGACAGCGGGAGCGGGGGAGGGTCAGAGAGAGAGGGAGACACAGAATCAGAAGCAAGCTCCAAGCTCTGAGCTGTCAGCACAAAGCCAGACTGAAACCACGAACCATGAGATCGTGACCTGAGCTGAAGCCAGATGCTCAACCGACTGAGCCCCCCAGGCGCCCCTAAATGATTAGTTTTATATAGTATGTGAATTTTACCTCAACAACAAGAACAGCAGACAATCAGCATCAGTATCTGTCCTACGGTGGGCACTCAGATTCTGCTGATTAAATACACTTCACCTCCTTGCAGTGAGAAGGGGAAACAGAGGGCGTTGGCGAAGGCTCTTCAGATCTTTAGGGAGACTTTCCTTGAGAAACTCTCTTAACAGCTTGGAACAGTTGATGCAGATAATTCCAGTGTGTTGGGTGTGTGTTTTGTGCAAAGCAGGATGCTAGGTTACAGAGAGAGGAGCAGGCTAAAGGAGGAAGCCCGCTCTCGTGGGGTTTCTAATCTGATAAAGGGAACACAAAGGTAAGATCAACTACAACACAAGATGGACACATCCGACAACAGAATGCTTTGGGACCTTAGAGGGAGGAGAAATGGATTCAAAGTTCATAATACAATTTGCTGTTGAAGTAGGCCTGGAGAAGGAACATGATTGTGGTGGACAGAAGGGAGGAAGGAGGGGCGCCTGGAGGGCTCAGTCAGTTAAGCGTCCGACTCGGGCTCAGGTCATGATCTTGTGTTTCGTGGGCTCGAGCCCCGTGTCAGGCTCTGTGCTGACAGCTCAGAGCCTGGAACCCGCTTCTGTTTCTGTGTCTCCCTCTCTCTGCCCCTCCCTGCTCACGCCCCGAATCTCTCTCAAAAATAAACATTAAAAAAAAAAAAAAGGAAGAAAGAAGGACATTCTAGACTGATGAAAGGCAGGTGCTGTTACGCGCACACTGTGATCGGGGAGTGCTGAGTGGTTTGTGGGGTTCTGTAGAGACCGGGTAGGGGGGCGTGGGGGACAGCAGCAAAGTAGGGGGAGATGATACCAAATGGAAAGTAAGGACCTGAGGGGCAGCGGTTTTGAGCTGCCTCCCGCGCCGGCCTTGAGAGGCGTAGTGGGTGCTGTGGTGCGCCGTCCACATCGCCCCATGTGGGACTGACACACTCACCGCACCAGCCACCAGGAGCACTGACGGCGGGCAGCTCTCAGCCAGTCTCCTTTCAGGACCGTCCTCCCTGGAGCACCTCCTATCCAGGGATTGAGTCATGAGCAGAAGTAAACCCTTGCTCTCCTGCTTCCGTGTGGGAGGACTCTGACAGCCTTTCCCGTTCCAGAGCTGCCCGCGAGCTCGGCTGGGCCTCTGCTGCAACTCCGCTGTAGTTCACTTTTTCCCACTGTCCGGTCTTGCTTCCTTCATGCCCTTACAGGCATTGTTCCCAAGAGGACTCCCCAGTAAAGCCCCTGAATGCTAATCTCAGAGTCTCAGAGTCTGCTTTCAGGAACCCCTGTCTAAAAGGAGGACTTTGGGAGATTAGGGGGGCAAATGAGCCCCTAGCACAAATGCAAATTGCCCCCCAGTGTGGGGAAATGAGAAGGCATCGTCTCTGCAACCGGGGTGCCCTTCGTTCATGAGCCTCTGGCCATAAGGTCCCATTTGACTCTTGGTGTCTATGCTTCCATTTGTCAATTGCACCTTTGCTCCCATAATTTGTCTGCCTCAGTCCCCGAGGCGTCTCCCTTTCCACCACTCTCTGTCATGGTCATGGACCATCTCTCTCCTTGGCTGCGCTGTAGCCACCTGACGTCTTATAATCTGTACCGGTCAGTGACTTCCTGGGCTCCAGTGAACCAGACAGAAGCTCCACCCACTTTTGTGTTCACAATACTTCACTCCTTAAACGTTTATAACGGCTGCAAATTCCCCTTGCAGAAAAGCCGAGATCCACCAGGTGCTTTCATATATCGAAACTCAATTCAGCTTCTTCGCAAAGTAGATAAGATTGGGTTTATCACCCCAAGAAACTGAGGTTCAGGGAAAACAATATTCTAATCATGAATTGAACTAACTCCACCAAGAGTAACTCCCACTTAACTGCCCAGCAAAATGCCTAGCACAAAGCATTCATTCAATTATTTTCTAATGAATAAGTGAATTCCCTTATCTCTTAATTAAGCTCTCTATATTGGCAATTCAAGTTTCTATTTCACTACATGAAGTTCGGCCGTCCTCTCTCCAAAATCCCCACCATGTTTCTAATAAAACTTCATGTGACAGAGTTCAAAGATTGAATTGTCTCCTAGTTCCAGAAATCAGTGGGTGTTCTCTGGGTCAAAAACTACTTCATTATGACTTTTGCTATGAGCATAGTTGCAGGAGTCTGCATTCTCACCTTCTCTAGGAAACCATAAAACAACAGTAAGAAGAATGAATTAAAAAGCAAACTCCATTTTCAGTCAAACCTGGAAAGAGATACACTTTTCAGATTTCACACTGTATGCAAGGGCTACTGAAAGTGGCCACTATCGGGCAAGAATTACGTGGGAGAAAGTGAAGAGAAGTGAATCAGAGGGGCAGTGCGACCGACTTCAGAGGTCCTGCACGGCGGGGCATAGCCTGAGCCAGGGCAGTGGACGTGGCCAGGACTTGAGGCAGAAACCTTTCTGTCTCGGTTTGGTTCGGGGAAGCAGAGGAAGCAGAATCACCAAATTTCAAATGTTCGGGGGGAAGTCTGTCTCTGTGGTAGGAAATGAGAAGCGAGTTGCTGGGTTGTGAAAACAGCCTGCAAAATATGTGACCCTCCCTGCCACCCTCGCCCCACCCCATGCACTCACACGTACAAACATACGCACGCTTAATAATTCAAAGCTAGACACTAAGAAAAGTAATATTGACTATAATCAGGGTAGGAATGCTATAGAAGTATAGTATATAGTATATATAGAAGTATAGAATACTATAGGAGAATACTATAGAAGGAATACTATAGAAGTTTGTATATGATCAAATATATCTGTCTCAGCTCAACATGTATACTGGGGCACTCCAGAGGTATTCCAGCTAAACACAAAAGAAGAGAAGGAAGCCTGTTATCACTTCTACGAAACATCGCACTGTATGTACTAGCTCCATGCTAGAAGAGAAAGAAATTAGTGGTATAAAAATTGGAAAAGAGGAAAATTCTACAGAATATCTGACCAGTATCCTTCAAAGCTGAGTATCATCAAAAGAAAAAAAAAAAAGGAAAGTCTAAGAGATTGTCATAGCCAAGAGGAGCCTAACGAGAGAAGACAACTAAATATAACTAGTTCTGGGATGGAAAAGGACATTACCTAAAAACCAAAGAAATCAGAATAAAGTATAAGCATTAGTTAATAATAATTTATTGATATTGGTTCATTAAACATAATATACCATGCTAATGTAAGATATTAATAATAAGGGAAATTGCGTATGGGATATCTGGGAACCCTCTATACTTTCTACATGATTTTTTATAAACCTAAAACTGTTGTGAAATATAAAGTTTAAATTGCAAAGGAAAAGACAAAGTGTCCCTTTTTTTAAAATTGCATTTTACTTATTTAAAAAATTTTTTTTAAATGTTTTGTTTATTTCTGAGAGAGAGAGAGAGACAGCGTGAGCAGGGGAAGGTCAGAGAAAGAGGGAGACACAGAATCTGAAACAGGCTCCAGGCTCTGAGCTAGCTGTCATCACAGAGCCCAATGCGGGGCTCGAACCCACGAACCGCGAGATCATGACCTGAGCCGAAGTCGGACGCTTAACCGACTAAGAACCCAGGCGCCTCGAGAATAGAAAATTTCTAATTAAGATATGTATTATATACCTGAAGTATATAGGAAATAGATATAAATACGTGGAAAAGCCCACTTTGTTATTTTTATTATTTTTAATGTTTAAATTTTATTTAAATCCAAGTTAGTTAACATGTAGTGTAGTAATGATTTCAGGAGTGGAATTCAGTGAGTCACCACCCAGTGCTCACCTACGACATCCAGTGCTCATCCCAACAAGTGCCCCCCTTAATACCCTCACCC